GTATAAATTTAATATAATTTTAGTTATTGCAATAGTATTTTACTCACAACAATATGCACTATATTGACTTATTATAGATTTAATTGATTACGATTGCTCATTCATGGTTTGTAACTTCTTGGCAAATAACTTAAAACATTATATAATTCAAGTTTTTAAACTGCTATGTAGTCGCAAAATTTTGGTTTTATCAAGTAGTTACCAAACTGTAACATAGAAGGTGGTTTATTCTAAAGAAAAGAATAACAATTTAATTGTTTAATGATAATATGCGGGAGCATATAACTAATTATGTTAATTATATTACTTAATTTATTACATGTATAGATATTAATACAAATTACCTTAATTTTTTCAGGTTATTATAAGTTTGCATCTTAGATAATTTAAGTTATACAAAAAAGTTAAGGAACTACTAATTTTAATAGTAAACAAGGTATACTTGATTACCAAATGTATATTTTTTTCTTGAGAAAATATGAATCAGTTTAAAAAATCTTTTTTTTATTATTGAAGGCTACTCTTAATATGCAGTATATTTTGGATTCCCGGTCTCGTTCCATTTTATATTTTTTTAAAAATGCTTTGGTGATAAAACTAGATCAGCAATTACAAAAAAATGAAATAAGTAGTAGTAATAATATGCAAAAGTACTAAAAGATATATGTTAATAAAAATATTATCATCTCATCTGTAAGTAGTTAAATTTGCCTGCTAAAAATAAACATGTGAAATTTACAGACAAAGAGATATTGATATATATGAATGATGCCAAAAAACTTGTAAATCAGCATTTGAATTTTTGTTTTTGATTGTAGTATTTTTTAAATTGTGTAATTAGATTAAAAGTAAAGGTTAAAAACACCAATTTACAGGTTTTCACTTGTATTATTAAGATTCTTGATATAGAATAATACATATTATAATATATAAAATATTGCAAAAAATTTCTAAATAATAAAGGAAAATGTATAATATAAAGAAAGCTTTGGTATCTTTTTCATGAAACTTATCTATAAATAATAGAATATTTGATTATTGTCAAAAAAAAAAAAAAAAATTCATAATGCAATCCCAACCTCCTACTGGTTTCATTTTTTCTGATATGAAAACTCATAATAACTAATAGACTAGGTTTTGGTATTCTGAAAAAAAAGTTGAGAACAATAGTAATAGATATAAAGCCAAATGCTTTTACTGTAGTTTAGAATTATCTGGCAGGCCTGATAGACTCTATAACCATGTTCTTAAGTGCAACTGTTGGTCTGTTACTGATAAGAGAGACTATATTAAAAAAGTTACTAGTTCTAATTTTCAAAAAAGAGTCAATAGTAGTTTGATTTCTGAAGAACAGCCAATGTATATAATTACAAATATTTATAAAATAAAAATATTTTAACTTAGCTAATAGAAGTTCCATAATATTATTTTTAATAGCTCTTCATCTTCAAGAGCAAGACGTCAAGAAAGCTTAACAAATTGGATTGTTAGACCAATATTACAAGATAAACAAGTCAAAATAGACAAAAAACTACTTGATGCTATTATTTATAACAATATTTCTTTTAAGTTTATTAAAAACCCTTATTTTTAGAAATTTCTTAATAAATTAGCTCTAAACTATAAACTGCTCTCTGCTGACTTATTAAGAACTAATATTTTTAACAATTTATTTTCAACTTACTTGGATAAGAAGCTTAAATCAATGATATCTCTTATGAATATTACTATTGCTTTGAACGGGTGGCAAAACATATCTAAAAACTCAATCTATGGTTTTATAGCCTTAAAAGAAAATAAAAAGAATGTTTTAGACATTGTTGATTTGTTATCAAATTGGCATCAGAAGTGTTTTTTAAATAGCAAGTAGAAAAAACTCTTGTATCAAATTTGGTCTCTATTAATTCTATCATAACTCTTCTGTTATAGTCAAAATAAAAAATAACTTTAAAGCTGATTATCTAAATATTATTTCTATCTGTTGTTGTCTTCATGCCTTTAATCTATTTGCAAAGAATATTTCTGGTTTCCCACCTTTAGTTCCAATTATTAAAAATAATCAAAAACTTATTAATTTTTTCATGTCTTCTCATATCTGGTTTTAAGCATTGTATTATGATTAGAAAAAAAAAGAAAAACTAACACATTCTCTTATAATATTTTGTAAAACCCAGTAGTACTCTTTTGCAAAAGTTTGTCTAGGAATAAAAGCATATAAAAGAGGGTTTCAGCATTGTATTACTCTTAGTAAAACTGATAATTATCCTATAATTAAAAAAGAAGTTTAGGATATAATTAATAATTGCCATTACTTTGCCCATAACAATATATTAGTGACAGTGCTTATTTCTGTTATAAATGCTATAGGTCATCTTGAATTAAGAGATGCTATATTAGCTGATATTTTTAAAAAGTTAATAAATATTCACTATACTATTTCTTTTACAAATATTCTAATATTTGGGTTTCAAGATCATGCCTTGACAACTATTGATAAGCATGCTTATGAGTTTTCTGATAGCATTTACCTCATTGCTCTTTTTTTGTTACCTAATTACAAAAAAATAGCAATTTCAAAAAAAATGTCTGAAGAATCAATTATTAGAGCTATATTAGAGTTAGCAAAAACCTGGGGCTATAATATAAAAGAAGCAAAACTTTTTTATCAAAAACTTATAAATTATAAAAATGGTGATTTCTTTATAATATATGTACTCAAAACACTAATGATGTTAATCCAAGAAGTTTTTGGGCTTAGTTCTCTGGAGGTTTTCCATTTCTTTGACATTTTGCAATGAAGATTTTTGCAATCATTTCACATGCAGCGACTATTAAACATTTATTTTTTAGTTTGAGTTTGGTAAAAACAAAGCCAAGAAATAGGATGTTTCCTACTATAATGGAAATGCTCGAAATGCTCTGCTATGATCTTCAGCAAGAATTATCTAAAGTGTTAAAAAAAAAAATTAGAACAGAGAATTAGAATTCATCAAATTCTATAGATTTGGAAAATGCCAGTATTGATATTTTTTTTGAAGAATTTGATGAAGATGAGATTTTACAAATTGATGTTGAATTACTGAACTTAGATATGAATAATACTGATCTAGCAATGGAAGAGTTTTTTGATACTAAAACCTTCAAAGAACAAAATGCAATCAAAGATTTCTATTCTCAAGAAAATACCAACCTCAATGAAGATTGGTTAATTAAAGACATCTTTCGATTTAATTCACAAATTTAATATATATTTATTGTCCAAAATTTGCAGACATGAGTTGTCTAACAGGTTGTATCAAGTTGGACATTATTGTTTGGGGATCAATACTAAAATAGATAAGTAAAAGGTATTCATTATTAGTTACTATAATCTTAGAAATAGATAACTTTTTAATAAATAATCTTTCGTAAAAAAAAAATAAATAAAATAAGAAAAAAAAAAAGAAAAAAAAAGAGTATCGGTTATCTTGGTTATTGGTTATTTGAGTTTGTACTTGTTAAACTTGTTAAGTGTTTTAAAAAAATCCATGAATTATTACTCGCAAATTTTTTTAATAAAATTATTCAATCTACTTAAACAGCTTTTAGAAAATTTGTATACTGTATATTTTTAAAAATTTCTTCCTGATTTTTGAAGTTGTATCGATAAGTTTTATAAAATAAAAACTGTATGTAACATGTAATCCATACTCTTGGCATGCCAGGGGTGGTATACGGGCATGAATTTGGTGAATAGTATGCTACATGGCATGCTAAATTTTTTACTTGTACCAGTTACCCTATTGCAAGGGCTGAGCCCCTTGAATACACTAAACATAAGCAAGATAATACAGAAATGTTTACTCCAAACAAAGAAGCTTATAACAGAAAAAGCAAAAAAGCAAAGACTTTAGCTACTAAAGAAGAGGATCTAAACATAGTCTGGAGTATATACTGCACAAGTTTAAAAAATAGTAAATCACTTCAAACAACAGGCCAGGATTTAAGATATATATCTAACAATATGGGTAAAGCTAGTTAACAAGAAATAGCCTCTTTTAACCAAGAAGAAAACATAGAACACACAGAGCTTACAAAAAGAAAGAATAGCTTAGCCTCTCAAACAAACAATATATCTCAAGTACTAAAACAACAAACAGTACATGTGCCTAATACAAACAATACTAAACATGTAAATAAACACATGAATAAGCATGTGAAAAACCAATCAAACAAAGATGATAATCAATCAAAATCTAAACAATAGTTAAGCCTATTTTTCAAACTCAAAAGAGCAAAGCAACCTTTTTAACCTATGCTTCAAGAAAAAGAATCAATATGAAAAATAAGAATACACTAATTTTTAAAGTATACAATTTGGAAAATATCTCTACTACTGATCAGTGTAAAAAATTTAGTTTGAGA